AAGGGGAAAGCGAGCGGAGAGCAGATCATTACACTCAACCAAACGTGCAAGAAGGTGTTTTCAGATATATTTATCAGAAAGTGCAACAGAAACGTGCTGAATTAGAGAGTACATTGGGTGTTAAGAATAATTAGTGGTTCTGATTTGAGTGCTATTGTGTATGATATTATTACCTGTTATGATGTCGTGAACACCTTTTGATCCTTTCATTTGAGATGTTTCCTTGTGGAATCATTCATTAAAACTTTGGAACTAACCAAAAACGAACCTTTTGCCCAAAGTGAGCATTTAAAGTTGAATTTTCAACGTTTTTCAAGGAGCCTCGTTCTTGTTCTTTTTTTTATTGATTCTTCGATTCTTTTATTGATCTGATATTTGACACTGCGTATTGAATTATTTCTGTTTTCTCTTCCATTGCACTTCATATTAGTAGTAGTGCTGTTGCTTTTACTAATATATGTTTGAAATGATCTTTAACAACTTTGAATTTTATTAATTTCTCCGATGATTTCCGAATTTGCACATTGCATACTCTTGTGTACAGATATCGTTTTATTTTTTCATGTGAAGTGTTTTCGTTCTGTGTTGTGTGGTGCGCCGTATCGATAGGTTCACTGTTTGTTCATTCATTCTTGAGCAGTGTTAATTTAGTTGTTGAAATGATTGTCATTCGGTTGATTCCATTATTACTTCGATAATATCAAGTGTTTTTAAGTTCCGTTCAAGTAAGAGTTATGTCCAATGTTTCGTCACTTAGTGTGTTTGCACCACCAGATTGCGAAGTGTGCGAATTTCGCCGATATCTCATCTTTTCTGCAATGATTCTCAGTTTAAGTAATATGAAACAATCGGCTAAATTGTACGGTTGAAAGAGATCGTTTGTTGTTTCGTATGAAACCTTTGCTTTCATTTATCTTTTTACTTTGTAATTTGTGAAAAACTTCTTCAGTTTGTTGACTTCTCGTGGTGTTGGATAATTGTTCAGTGTAATTTTATTTAATTTGCTGATTAGTCAGTTCATTTGATTGCTCGATACGTATCGCATCGAGTTATTCGAATGAGAGATGGCAAGGTGATGTGAATTAGTTTATTTTAATGTAGACCATCATAGCTGCTCTCTGCAGTATGACTATTGACGTGATTATTTAGTGATGTTAACATACGATTAGTTGAGAACTGTCACGATATGATGGTACGGATTGTATTCNTATTATTATTATTAGTGCTGTTATCGTGTGGATTTTCTCATTCGACCACCATGTGCATGCACAGAATTGTTATTAATATATTTCTTATGAATTCAATTTCATTCTTTGTTTATTGTATCTCTCCTATTTTTTTGTCAATAAACTATTATTAATGGATGCCAGTGGTAGGTTGTTGTAAGTGTGATGAAAGTGTTCACCTCGTAAATGGATAATGAATTTCAAGGAATAGTACCAGACAGAAAGGATGTATGGATAACCTACCGAAATTCGGTTTTTAAAATTGGTTCATAAAATTTGTTGATAGTTTCCGAATTTACTTCAAATTACTGGTTCATCAAATTACTTCAAAAGAGATAGAATCGTGGCTGAAATTTCATGTGACTTGATAATTATTCGCATGAATTGTGCAGCTGATTCATTCCAGTCAGATAAATCGTGAAATAATTAAAACTTGAGTTTACCTTTGGATACATTGAATTCGAATCATTGTATGTGATATGTCTCAGCATATTTGTAACAAGTTAAAATATTCATTTCAAAAAGATATAACATATAAGATATCGTTCAGATTGTTCAAGATATAATAAAAAAATGAAGAATATAAAATATCCTTCAGATTGTTCATTATGTGAAGTTTAGAGTTGTGAACATCAGTTGTTTATGAAAAGATGTAAATTAATTGAAGTGAAATGAGTAGTGACGAGTGTCAGACCTGTCGAACACCGCGAGCGTTGACAAGCGATGAAATAAACAAGTTGAACAGTGAAATAGCAGTAAATGAGTTCAAGAAGAATAGACTCGAAATCGAGGCACAAAAGAATTGGGATCGATTCTACAAACGAAATAAAGATAAATTCTTCAAAGACAGACACTGGTCTCGAGAAGATTTTATCACACTTTGTCCGCATATCAATTTAGAGGTCTATTCACTCTTCATTATTGTATTCGTGTCACTATCATTATCAACAAACCAATTACAAGAGTCGCATTCCAAACAACAACAATTCAAGCAAATTATTTCGTTTGTATTTTCAGTTGAAAACATTTTAATGCATTTTGAACAAGAAACAAATTGTGTTCAGAGCAATTCTCTATGGAAATCATGTCAGAAAATCAAGCGAACATCTCTCAGAAGTTGATGATTTCAGAGTGAATTAACATATCTGGAAGCAGGTTGCGGGGTTGGCAATATGTTGTTTCCATTGATGGATTATTTCCCTCTCTGGAATGTGGTCGCGTTCGATTTCTCATCGAATGCCATTCAACTGCTCATCGAACGTTTCAAACAAACCAAACAACAAACAAATTCTTTAACAGTTTTTGTCGCTGATTTGTGTGACACTGAGCACTTCCCACCTGTTCAGTTACCACTCAGCGATAGTACATCCACCCGTGATGCTGCCATCACTAGAAATGATCAAGATTCAAAGTCAACATTGAGCTCGAGTCAGACTTTCGTATCAGAACCTCTATCATCAGAGTCACCTTCAATCTCGAGAAGTCAAGATGACTGCATTAGAAGTGATCACGAAGATAATACCTCTAATCAGTTCAGAAATATTGTCTCAATTCAACATGCTCATCGTAGCGACCATTCCTCTCCTTCGACTCATTCTGAATGCATTCAACTAAGCCAATCAAACCCCTCCGATCATCCCTCAGAATCGTTTTGTTATTATTCACATAAAAGTGTCCACTTCAACGGCGCTGATCTCGCAACGTTGATATTCGTATTGAGTGCGATCCATCCGAACAAACATCGGATTGCCGTTCAAAATCTAACGAAACTGATCAAAAAAGGTGGTACGGTTATTGTTAGAGATTACGGTATCAATGATCATGCAATGATCCGTTTTGGACGTGGCACAAAACTGCACGAACGCTTCTATGCCAGACAGGACGGCACCCGTGCCTTCTATTTTAAGCTTGGTTTGTTCACATATCTTTTCTTTATCGCTGTTATCT